GTCATCCATACATGGCATACGAAAATGTTTATCCTGGATATCATCCACTGGCTCTTTACAAAATCGATCGACTGCCTCCATAATAGTATCTCCTGCATACCAATGGGAAAGTCTGGCATGGTCACGTCGTAGTATATTTTCACCAGTTAGACCAGAACATGGAATGCAACTAATGTGAGACTCAGAATATCCAATCTGGGAGGTTAATACTTTAATGACTTGGTTACGTATTTCTGTAAACCTTTCCTCTGCGTAATTTACTTGATCCATTTTGTTGATGGCTACTATCACCTTATTCACTCCCATACTTCGAACAATAATAGCGTGTTCCAAAGTGGGTCCATTTTCATGAAGCAAGTCTCAAACTGTCCAGGAGAAGCATCCACTAAGAGAATGGCAACTTGGGCCTGAGATGCTGCTGCAATAACTGCTGATAGAAAGTCATAATGTCCAGGCGTATCCAAAAAAGTATACAATCGCTTAAAATGAACTTGTCGAATACTTATATCCATAGTCACTCCACGCTCACGTTCTGCTTCTTGGTCATCCAAAACCCAAGCATAAGAAAGATCAGACCGACCAGAATCGGAACTTTCCTTTTTTAGTTTACGTAACATGCGCTCATCAATATTACCAGTCAAGTGTAGAATATGACCCAGAAATGTGCTCTTTCCTACATCTACATGGCCAAGGACTAAAATAACAGGATTGGTACAATATCCAACTTCAAGACTTGACTCAGTTTGTGCTGGTTCAACTTGTCCATGATGAAAAGGATGAAATGTCGATTCCTTCTCCGGCTCAACTGCACAATGGCTTTCCCTTATTTTACTCGTTGTTTTTTGTTGAGAACAAACGATATCTTTGCTCTTATTCTGTCTCGACTTTGCAAGGCTTTCATCGACTGTAGTGTTCTCTGGGTCTGCCGGGTCTCCTTGTCCGACTTGTTCTGGTAGAGAAGATTGAAAGCTATCAGCAGCTTCATCCAATAACAATCCGACTGCAAGATTAGGATTACACTGTACTCTATCTAAAGCTCTTCGTATTGTATCCAAGGAAAAGGAGTCACTCAATACCTTGCGTACCTCCTCCACTGCACTTTCTCTGATTGTAGATTGCTCTGAAAGTGTTTCAATGGTTGCTCTTTCGTTTCCTTTTCTCTGACTTGTTCTTTCTCTATCTTCTTCAAAGTCTTCTTCGTCTTCATACCACTCTTCCAGTTCAGCTTGTATAAAGTTTCGTTGCTGTAGTTTCTTGGGCATTTCTCATGTAACAATTTTTCTATGAAAGAGCCATGCACAGATGATCTATCCACCATTGCCAAAGCTACTGTCTGGACGTTGATTCCTGTAGACTATGCAAGTATTATATTAAGCAAGTATTTCTCTGAGGAAATTCTTCACAAAAATATTGTGGATAATATCATATCGCCTGGTTGTTATCGTTCGCTTTCTCTGTTCGACAGTTGTATTTCCTATCAGTGTATTGCAGTTGTTACAAAGGGAAGCCTTGGTTGGAGTTTTTCAGAAAAAGTACTCGTAACTCAAGAAACTCAAGTTATTTTGATTCCTATCGGGTGTCGTGTATTATATCCCTCGGATGATGATCCTTGTGAGGTTTGGAGCAGAATTGACCAGCTTTCTTACATTGAATTGCCTATTTCGTTAGTTGATCGAACCTCCAGAAGCGCTGAAACGTTGTAAAAAGTTGATGACTTGGAGATTATGTCAGCAAGTTTGGTTGCCCAAGAATATACAACGCGCTCCAGGTTTTTATGTTTTTCGGGGCTATGCAAAGTGTGGAAGGAAGACTTTTCTGAAGACACTAGCAAAGGAGTTGAAAGGTATGACTTGTTCATTCAAGGGTTATTGTTGCACCCGGTTGAATGAATATTTATGGATCCTAGTGCTTTGCATCGTATTCCGAGCCACGCAAGTGTACAATCTATTGGCCAAAGATCCTGATAGAGCTCAATGGAATCTTTTTTTTGACAAATGGAAAAGTTTAGAACCTTGTATTATTATTATTGAAGATTGCGATTGGTTATGGGAGGACAGCATGACTATGATCAACTCCTTCATAGAAGGATTCCAAAGACTGTCCAAGTAAGAAGATGATTCCAAGTTTATGTCCCAATGAAATGAAAAGTGTTGACCAACTCTCATATAGGGAAAACAGAAGCATTGCTATTGTAGCCAACTGCAGTTCTTCGAAACTTTTACCCAACTCCATCCTTTCACTTTGTGGAATGATCGTTACTTTTCCGATAGCTTCTCAAACTGCCAGACATCAAGTGCTTTCCCTTATGATGAATAATGATTCGATAGATTGGCCATTACAAGAAATCCTTGAAGCTTCATATGGTCTTACTGTTGGAGAATTGAAGGATTCGCTGGCTGCCGTAGTTGACTCTTCGGATGTCAACTTGAATTGGCTCAAAACATTTTGGCAGAGAAAGAGAGAATGGAGACTAGACAACTTGACTCTTCTTGGTATTCGAGTTTTGTTTCCCAATCAACTCAACGATGAAGCATCTCTATCTTGTCATTTATATGGCCTCGACTCGATTATAAGACAGTTGGAGATATCTCTTTTTCCTCCTAGTCGATATTCTTCCAATATCTTGGCCAATATGCGAGGAATCCTATTTTATGGGCCTCCAGGTACTGGAAAGACTTCATTAGCAAAAAGAATTGCCTTTTCAGCACATGCCACTTTTATATCCGTTGATGTCTCTAATTTGATCGATGCTTATGTAGGCGAATCTGAGAGATTGTTGCGCATGTTATTTCAACAAGCCAAGGAAATGGCTCCCTGTGTTGTGTTTTTTGATGAAATTGATTCTCTATTCAATAGAAGACAACGTTCACCGGATATGCCTCTTATGCGATGGAGGTCATCTTTCATTCTAGAAATGGATGATTTCAAACTTGATGAGGTACGAAATGATTCGTTTTTTGGGAAAAGATTGATTTTATGGTTGCTTATTTTCAGCAAGTGTATATTGTAGCAGCCACAAATCGTCCTTGGGATTTGGATCAGTCGCTGTTACAAGAAGGTCGTTTATCAAAGCATTTTTATATACCTCTACCAGATAGACAAGTGAGGACCCAGATATTGATGCATCACTTTCGACACATGTGGCCCAATGCTTTATCCGAGGAAACCACTTTATATCCATTTGCTCATAGGTAAGTTTTTTGAAGATTGAATGGCATCCCATGATAACCATGTAAAGTATTGCGGAGGTGACGGAAAACTTTTCCGGTGCAGATTTGGAAGGACTCATTCGTAGTGCTGTTCTTATGAGTTGTCGAAAACGGATGCACGATGTGGAACATTTGCTATCGAAAGAAGATATATGGGAAGCATTGTCTTTTTATCAAGCTTCCATCACTTTGGAACAACTCCAACGTTATGAGTATTGGCAACAATCCACACATTGAATACCAAAAAGAAGGACATTCTCCATCAAGTGGCGCAATGGATCTTCTCCCGCCAAATGCTGCCCGCCAAGGGACGAAAATTCAAAGCCAAAAACCAAATAGCATTTTGTGAGGAAAAGGTCACAGGAAAAGCCAAAGGTCACATAACCCTTGGGAATGTTTTGTTTGACCGTTAATTTTGGATTTTCCTTGGAATGGAAAGCATGAGTCAAACGAAACGTTGGAGTTGTGTGATTTATCAAGTGGATAGTATATTGCCTAGGAAAGTCTATGATTGTGAGCCCAGTGAATGTATATCGGATTCATTGGAAAGAGATAAAGAAAGAACCAACAGGATACCATTCTATGGATCTCCATCGAATGAAGCACACACAGCTCATAGAGATGCTTTCACATACTATATGGAGAAAGGTCCCTGTTCACATAAATGGAAGCAACTACATGTTGGTGATTATCAACATGACAATTTACTTTGGAATGCACAAGTTCATGATGAGCAAGTTTGTGATAGTTGTCAAATGCACATTTGTTCTAGTTGTGGTAATCCTTTTTCAGATGAGGAGTATTCCAGTTCTTCCGTACCCATCCCATATGATACCCATATATCATCAGACCATGAGTTGACAGAATGGAGAAGAAAATGGCCATTTCAGAATAAGCCTGATCAACAAATGAACCTATGTCGAGATCAAGTTTCTTCACTCGAAAACACAGGGTATATTAGACAAAAGTCCAAAATGAAGATATCATTGAAAAGAAAAAGGTCAGACTCAAATCTTAGTATAGATCAGTTATCGAGATACTTTGATTTGCCACGGAAGGAAGCCGCTCAACAATTGGGAGTTTGTGTGACTCTATTAAAAAGGAGATGCCGAGAACTAGGAATCCATTGTTGGCCTTTTCGTAAGATGCGTTGTTTAGATGATCGAATAAGACATTTGCAAATAAGAAAAGAACAATCTATTTCGGATGTTTCTATCGATCAACAAATTAGGATACTTCAGCAAAGACGCCAGTCCTTGTTGAAGAACCCTAATATATCGTTGCAGCAGTTATTAGGTGACGAAGATGAAATATCTTGGTCTGGTCTCCCATAAGCCAATTCAGTTCATTTTATATAAAAGTTTGTGCCAAGTAGTTTGATATTCCAACGGGTTATAACGCTCTGATTGACAAAATATTCAAAACATCAAGTCCATGAGACCACAACAAGCCAAAGCTGCACAGAGACCTGCACAACAGGCCAGTGCTTCATCACCGCCACCTCCACCACTACCAGTATTTCCATAAGGACTATAATATTGATTTCTTCCATAATAATAAGGAGACGACCCTGGTGGACCCTTTACATAAACCGTTTGTTGTCCATAAGGCTTGATGAGAGTTGTCAAAGCACAATAAAAGAGAACAAGTTTACTTACAGAACCTATAGGGTTTCCATATTCATCCACAGGTACTTCGTACACTACAGTAGTTCTTCCTGGAGGAGCGCCATAAGGTTGAGCTACAGGAGGTGGTGGAGGAGGATAACCTGAAGGATATCCTCGATACTCAACGTTGTAAGGATAGCCATATTGTGCCATCGTCCAATGTCAAAATAATAAATCCACTTGTACACAATATTCATACCTTCTTATATTCGATCATGAAACCAACCAAAATAAACAAAATGAGTTCA